TCTTCTAGCCTACTCATTCATGAGAGTGGCTTCGAGGCACTGGCGAGAGTTTGAAATGCTAGATCAAACTCATCAAGTCAATGCCTATAGCGCGATTGGATTAACGGTACCATAGGGCTTCTTGCTCTACTGTAATTTCGACATTGGAAAACAAATATGTCAGAGATATTCTAGATTCAGCGAATTTTCTAATCCGCGATACCAGTCATCTTTCGTTATTCAAAAAAAAATATGCGCAAATTAAATGCTGGTAAAATGCACAAGTGTTGCAATATAATGGTACACAAAATTCCCGCAAATAATTCTAGTATATACTATGCAATTCTATACATTTTATCGCAATGATATTAATTAAAAGTAATAAAAGCATCACAAATAATCAATAATCGTAAATGCGATAATTAAATTTCATAATCATAAACATCAGCAATAAAGGTACCTGAAATACAAAGTCGGGTCGAAATTCAATGTCCCGTGGCTCTTTTATGCGAGAATATGATTTTGGTGATATTTGCAAATTCCGAATGCTATTCAAACAAATATCCCAAATGCAGAGGGTTATTTATGTGTTTTCTGGAAAATTCAGGGTTTAAAATGCAAAGATTCCAATACAGAGGAACATGCACTTAATTTCCAAAAAAACAAGGGCATTTTTGCAAAATCATAGGATTCTTTCCTTTTTTTTTTTTCTTTTTTTTCTTTCCTTTTCTTCTTCTCTTTCCTTCTTTTCTCCCACTTTCCTTATCCTTTCCCGTTGACTCCCCCGATTGCGTCGCCTGCCATACATGACGACGCGGCGGCGGCGGCGCAGAGCCGGTGGCCCGGCGACGGCCGGCCGTTTGGAGGTGGGGCGACGTCCAACAGCACGGCGGCCGACATCGGGGCGGCGCGACGCGGCGCCCGGGAGAGTGGTGGCGCGAGCACGCGGCCGGGCTGAGGAAGAGCGGCGGCGGCACCAGGCGCGGTAGCACGGGTGCACGGCAGCCAGGCGGCGGTTCGGCCGGCGGCTGGCGCGGCTAGGTTGGCGCGAGGTGCGGCCGAGCGGCGGCGGACGTCAGCGGCGCGGCCAGGCGGCGGTTCGGCCAGCGGCGGGCGCGGCCGGGTTGGCGCGAGGTGCGGCCGAGCGGCGGCGGATGTCGACGACGCAGCCAGGCGAGGTGGCAGCGTAGCGCGGTGACCGGGCGCTGCAGGGTGGCGCGCCGGGGTCGCCCGGCGGGGCGGCTCGGCGCACGGCGGTGCGGTCGCCCGCGGGGTTCGGCTGTACGGCGGCGGCGGTGGCGCGCGGCCGTGCAAAGGCGGCGCGGCGCGGGGCCGTGCGGCGGTGACGCGGCCGTGTATGGCGCGGCCAGGCGGCGGTTCGGCCGGCGGTGGGCGCGGCCGGGTTGGCGCGAGGTGCGGCCGAGCGGCGGCGGACGTCGGCGTGGGTGCTGCTAGCGGCGGCCTCTGTGCAGGCGCGGCTGAGCGACGACCGGTCGTGACGCCGTGGAGTTCGGTGTAGTGGCGTGGCCCATGCAGTGGCCGACGTCTCCATTGGCGTCTTTTTCTTGTTCTTCTTCTTTGTCTTGTTTCCTTTGTTCTCCTCTCCTATTTTGCTGTTAGTTGCCATGGCGCACGCGTCCGGCATGGGCTTGCTGCGTGCCCTCGTTGCAGTGAGGCGATGGCCATTGATGGCGAGCGCGAACGGCTGCCAGTGATGGCGCGAGTGCAGCTATGGGGGCGCGGTGGCCGGCGTGCGTCCAGGACGACGCGGCCTGTCGCCGGGGTATCCGTGTGCGGCATGGCGCGGAGGGACGCGCTCAGCCAGCTAGCTTTTCCGGGATATTGCTAATCGGCTTTCGCCGGCGACTCCAAGTCGGCGGTAGCAGATTTCTCCAGAAAAACAAGAACGGAATGCGAACGAGGAGAGGAATTCGTTTTCGTGATTGAATCGGCGAGATGCTAAATGGATGTGCGAGTTCTCACCCTTCTTCTTGCTTGGTCTCCGGTAGAACGTCGTGCTGATAACGTATTACGCAACCCTCCTGCTACACGAAATAATCCAAAAGGGTCCCATAATTCTATAAAAGTGGAGACACAAGATATAGGGGTGAGACTCTCTTCTCATTCATCATTCTATCATCCTCAAGCACAAGTCAAGCACAAGTGTACAATATGAGCACCCTCTCCTTTTTATATAGCCTTCCTCTATATATGGAAGGTTTCGGTGTGAGCTTGTTAACAACCAAATTTGGTAACATCGGCATTGGGAAAGAAGATTAGATCGAAGCAAAGTCGGAGGCGGAGATTGAGTTCGAAAACAAGGCAGGAATCGGCTGGAGTCCAGATCGGCTACGATAAGATCGGCTGAGTCTGAGTCGGGCTAGGTAAGCAGACGTAGCCGATCCCGACAATACAACTTAATGTGTGATGTCGGGTTCGATTGAGGTGCTTCAAGGTGGTTGCCGTACATGGATAGAGTTCTGAGGAGGCAATTGTATCTATTAATTAGGATGTTTTATATAATTTCCTTAGAGATACGTTTGGGCAAAAGTCTGCCGCAAAGACTTATGGTATCTTAGAGTTTGTTAGAGATAGTAGTCGTGTCCGTTATGGACGTATCTTGTAATTCTCGGGTATAAATAGACCCGAGTCCTATGTAACTTTTAACACACGTTCAATACAATTTCGGCACATCACCACCCTTTTGATTTAGTTTTGTTTCGACGAGTTCTTGCTTTCGGGTTGAGCTGCATCGGTTTCGATCTTCAACAAGAGGTAAAACTTGTTATGACGGCTTGCGTTCTTGAGATTAGTGCTTCCATCCTCATGATACTCTAATCTTGTTTATATGATTCGTCGAGTTATCATATATCTTACATAATCTCTGGCAATATCGCTGTCTAACCTACAATCGGCTAACATCTATCGAGGAAGGTAGCCGATTAGGTTAGATTCTGACGTTGATTCAGATTATATAAGATATTTACCACTCTATGAAACTTCCAGCGGCTTGATTGTCTAGATATTGTTCTTCTCTTCATACTTAATGCTGCATCAGTTGAGTTTGATTTATTAAGTCGTGCTTAGAAGATCAATCTCTAACCTGTCTTCTGGTTGCCGATTAGGGTAGCATCGGAGTTTCAGCCGATCTTATCTGATTTAACTATATTTGCTTTATATGCTTAATTGACATATTAAATCTGTCCTTTACGTCAAGATATTGCTATATTTAAATATATTAGGCCTTTGTTTGATATATTATACCTATTTTAATATCCTGATATAGAGTAGTATCGGAGTATTATCCGATACATGCTAGGTCTATCTGATCAGCTATGCTATAACATATATAGACCTGTTATTAATATATATTTCGACCTAAGTGATTTATACTGTCTCGGCATGGTGACCGATCTATCTCAATCACTTGATTTAAATATATATCGATATAAGAACTGTATATTGGAAATATCTACAGCCGATTGAATAGATTTAGTTCTTTATTATCTATTTACAATTGCCGATCGATTCATATATGACATCGGCTCAGGGATAAATGATATGTCATCGGCATCTAGCCGATCGGCTATCATTTATAGATTTAACCGCAGTTTCTTTGCTTCTATTTCTTGTTGATTACAGGATCAAATCAACTGTCACGCTAGTACACCCAAAGGCGAGCTTTGGACCTGCACTGGAGTTAAGCAGATCTCTCAGGCCTCGTGTTTTCTGTTAACACGCTTTTGGCACGCCCGGTGGGACCAGTAAGAAGTCAGCCGACAGTTCTTCCTCATAGCCGAAAAACAACCACCACCACCATCTAGCCCAGGCTCTGTTAAGTAAAAGATGCTGAAGTTAGGATTGACTGACGTCAATGAAGAAAACATCGTGCCGATCGATCCGGAAAAATTCACGCCCGAGCAGAAGAAAGAGTTTGAAACAATGTTGCAACAAGCACGGGATCAGTTCTTGAACTCATTCATGTAGACCCGCAAGGGAACACTTGTTCAGAAATACAAAATAAAGGTGATTGCTGATGATCCTTGGATCAGCTCTTTTAAGGATGGAGATAGGAAACAAGCTCCAGACGGCTCGGCGCAACCTAGTATCACTACACCATGACCTAGTATTCCCTTCATTGCAACTGCCCTAGATAAGTGCATTGAATGGCAATTCATCTGCCGGGAAAACTATTCCCGGCACTTAAAAACCGCCCTATAAAGTCCTGTAGCAAAAGAGAATTCCCGGCAGATATTTTTTTTCCTGGCAATTAACTGCCCTAGAATCACTAGAGTATTCCCGGCATATAGTTGTATCCGTGGCAATTAACTGCCCTTGATGCTTAGAGCATCCCTGGCATATAGTCTGACAGTTAGTAGTTTTACCGGCACTTGGTTGTTTCGGACCAAATCAGTACAACGGGTCCAATGTACACAAATTCAGATCGGTACCAAATCAGCCCACAGAATCAGTACAAACTCCATAGACATTCAACACACATCCAGCAATTCAAGACTCCATAGACTTTCAACGTGCATTCAACCAGTGGCGAAGCCAGGATTTAGAGATGGGGGGTGCCATCTACGAGATGTGGTAACTCACTTAAGGTTTAATGAACAGTGATATTGTAGCGTTGATGTATGATCGTTAACTCGACATCATACATGTTATAGCGATTAGCTAGAAGAGAGAATGAGAACCCATAGATCATAATTTGCCAATTTAAACAGTTTGTTCCATTATTTTAATTGGAGTCTTGCAATCATTTTTAAAATGATAAATCAGTTAACTAAGTCATTTCATAAGTCCTATATATATATAGCTAGGCAGTTATTCTATATAGCTAGTCTCATCTGCAACTAATGATGTAATTAATGGCTAGATTATAAGGGCTAATTATCCATGGGAGAAGAGAGGGGAGGGGAGGTCACATAGGGGTTAGGGGGGTGTTGGCCCTCCTGGCCCCTACGGTGGCTTCGCCACTGCATTCAACAACTCAGGTTTAACATAATGACTTTAAGTTGCATGAAAAAAACATACTGACTTTAAGATTCCACAAGATCAAAAGTAGTTATATCCAGCACAGCAGAGTGGGCAAACACTTGCATCAGTGTACATATATACGAGTACATTGTCTTTGCATTCATACAAAAGAAGTCTATTTAATTAGCAAAAGTTTCCAAGACTCTTGTATGACGATGGTCCACCGATCTGTACTTCTGTACATTAAATAATTCAACCAACAAGCGACCACCTTCAACATGCAACTCTTCATGTCCAGGATAGCATCAGTAGCTCTAACAAAAAGCTAGCCATTTGCACTCTCCTGTTCAACCAATACAAATTGTTGGCCAAAAGTAATGAAACGGAAACAAGCACTGATCATTTAGAATAGAACTGTATACATCGCATTATTTGCCTCATTTAAGTTGTTGCAGAATTTGACATGACTTAGGGATTGACATTGTCGTCCATCTCGAGAATTAGCAAGTAATTCAGTCAACTTTTCCACTTCCTCACCAAGTGACTCAATTTTTCTAATAGCAGTTCTAACAAAAACCTAGCAATTCTGTAAAAAAAAAACAGAAAAATAAAAGATTGCGTCTGAGAAGAGGGTGAAATGGCTATCTTTTCATTTGCATTAACAACTACTATTCCATCTATACCTGATCTAGCAGGAGAAACATATGCTGGATCAATAGTAATGTCTGTGCCACCACCTAAATCAGGACATTGGTCTACATGTTCAATTTCATTGTCCGGTTAAATTGTGCCTAGGAAGGTACATCCATCACCTATCCATAGCTGGTATTGACAATCAAATTTTAGAGGCCACTTAAATTAGTTTGTGTTTGAGTGGTGTTTTCTATGCGTGAAGTACAAGTACTCACCAGTGTACCCATGGGGAAAAGATAAAAAAACATTGCGCAAGACAAATATAACATGAGGATATAACATTTCAGCATTTTAGCATAGTACTCATGGCAAGCGGGAGGAAACTAACTGTTGTACATTTGTTGTTCGGGACCTCTGTTCGGTAGATGCTCAGCAAAGCAACGTACACCTTGGATGATATCTAGGTTGATTGCAGCAAAATCGGTAGTGGACGACTAAACTGCACCATAAAGCCAAATAGTTCAAACTTGGAAATAGATTATAATGTCACTTAAAATAAATATTTGATCAAACAGGCTCAACAATATAGCTGTTTCTCACACATGTCAACAATATAACTGACCAAACAGGCTCAGTGGCAAGATTCCTCCACATAAAAAAAAAGTTGGTTTGCACAGTGCTGCTGCATATGCAACATTGACATTGCAATGCTATCCAAGGCCTCTAATTGTCTATCCTTGATGATGAACTCTGCAATTTTTGTGAGCAGGACGATAATAATAAGTGTATCATGTGTATCATGGTACTACTAGGAAGAAGAGTGACAGACTGACAAGGCATATGAACTAACAGTCACAGCCAAGCAGGTAGATAATTTCTCGTTTCTCTATTTTCTCCTTGTTTATTTTGTCCATTCATTCACTTATAATTTAACACATGAAACAATCCATACATACATGCATACATTCACTCATTTCAGAAGAAACAAATCATGGATCTGGTATAACCGGGAGATTTTTTACCTGAACAAGTGGATATCCGAGCCGATTCCTTGATCTCCGTTCCTCTTCATGTTTTACCAATCCTACAAATAATAGCACACATTAGTAAGAATTTATAAATTGCATATTCAGTTATTCTTATTCACATATTCACTGATCTCTAATTACAAATTGATTTAGGCAGCTGTTCTAGTGTTTTGTTGATCTGTTCGTTACCTGAGCTAAATGGTGGAGCGCCGGATCAGTGGAGACGTGGAGCAGCCAATTAAGCAGGAGGCGAGCGGCGGCGCTGCGGCAAGCCGCGCCAAGCCACCAAGCCGGCAACCCGCAACCGGCGGCCAGAGTCCGGCGAAGCGGTGACCCGAGGAGGCGAGGAGGACTGGAGTATGGAGGACAGGAGGAGTTGCCGTCGCAGCGTCGCTTCGTCGCCGGCCCCCGCTTGGCGGCTTGGAGCGGCGCCGACGCGGAAGACGGACCCACCGCCCATGGGCGTCGATGGCTCCAGCGCGGACGACGGCGCGGACCGCTGGGACGGAGCGGCGCCGGCGAGGAAAGCGGGGACAGAGTGGACGGCTGGGATGGCGCAGCGCCGGCGCGGACGACGGGGAGGCTCGACGCGCGGCCCTGGACAGTGGCGGCGTGGAGAAGTGGAGGGTGGAGGCGCGCCTGGTGGTGGTGGACTGGAATCCTTCCAACCCTAATATTTCTGGGCTGTTTGGGCTAAACAGGCTTTTGGGCTAAACAGGCTTTTGGGCCTAATTTTTTTGGGAGGTGAGGTCTCTGGGCCGAATTCTGGGTAGTTCCGAGCCCACCGGGACTACCTCTTGGCTACGCCCCTGTCTAAATGTGTGGAGTCGAGGGTTTGGTGCGGAGGCGTCGGGCATAGGAGGAGGAATCAGTGGCCGCATAGAGGAATGGAGCTCGTCAGGGAGAGAGTGCGGCTGCGGCGGCAATAGGGAGGCGTTGGGCAGCGATATGCCGACAGCGGAAGCCGGCGGGCGGAGTCGACAGTGGCGTGTGGGTCAAGTCGGAGGTGGGGAGGAGGCAACAACAGTGGTGGCCGGCCGGTGGAGTCGACGGCGGCGTGCAGCGTGTGGCGGTGCGTGTGGAGACATCGTGGATGAGGAATCGGGTGCGGTGCGACGAGAGTGGGAGTGCGATGCGATGAGGAATCATGTGCGACGGGATGTTGGGCCCACGAAAATTTCCACGCCTTGGAGCTTTGCTCGGCCTGCCAATATTTTTAGCCCGCCAAAATTTCCTCAAACAGTTCACTGTAAAATTGGTTTCCCGGTAACAGAATTCCCGGCAGATAATGTGTTCTCTTAAATTATCTATGGCAGATCAATTGACCTATTTATATTTGTTCATTGCCGGCACTTAATTTGCTGTCCTATTTTTTTAATTCCCGGCAGATAAGATGACGTTCAAGATTATTTCCGGCACTTGATATATTCTCGGCAAATAGTTCGTCACTAACTTTATTTTACTGCCGGCAGTTAAGTGCCATGAATACTAGGTTATGGTGTAGTGTATCAAAGGTGCTACTGACGGCTCTCTAGGAAATCAAGGTGACAATTCTCAAGGAGTCCATGGAGTACAAGGTGACGGGGTGCATGGAGTTCAAGATGATGGTGCTCAGGGGCCGCAGGGAGGAAGTCTTAATCAGAATAATGATGTGGCACAGGATTTTTTCAATAACTTCCAAGATCGGGTTGATTACGCCGTGCATCATGCTTTGATCAATCAGTCCGGCGTATTAGTCATTACCTTATCAAACATGATGAAGACAATAGCCGATGGTTCAATAGCTGAGCATCAGGCTGCAGGCCCAGTTTATTTGCAAGGAGGTGTCTTCCCAAATTATCGATGTGGGCTCACCGATGTTCAGCCATCTATTCATGCAGTTCCCTCCGTTGCACCCACAACTCAGCCGACGGCGCCAACATCAACTCCCCTACCTGCTACATCAGCTATGGCGCCAGGCCAGCCGATGAACCCTCGGTTGTTAACGAGGGAGCATCCACAGCATAGTGGGCAGGTTGCGAATCGGCCAACCCAAGATCAGGTTGCTGCCATGTTTTTGCCGCCTCAACATGCGGTTGATCCAGTACCGCAGCAGCCGATTCAGCAGACACCCCCAATTCAGCAGGTTATGCAACCAATCCAGCAACAGGTCGTGTAACCAGTTCAGCAAACATCACCAAGGCAGCAGCCTCTGCAACCGATCCAACAGACTACGTTAAGGCAGCAAATCATTCAGCCGATTCAGCAACAGGGGTCTGTAAGCGCATCGGCCGGGTTCGCAGCGCCTAGAGGTCAGCCTATACAACAATTTGTAAACCAAGTCATCCCAGAACATTTGGTTCACCACGTACAGCCGGACGGCACAGTAATGCCTTAGGTTGTTCCTGAGCACTTGGTGCGCAATATCCAGCCAAACCTTCATAATTACCAAGGGGGTAACTTGAGTTATCAATATCAGCCTCCTTCCCCGCAAGCCCAATATCAGCCAGGGGGATTGGCTCAACCTCAGTTCACATCTCACTACGGTCAGTTCGAGCCCATGCAGCAACAGTCACAAGGGGCAGCTCAGCAGCGACGGTGGGCCGATGTAATTGCTGACGTAATGAGGGAACAGTTTGGGCTTAAACCAAAAGAGACTGGAAGCTTGTATCGGCAGCCTTACCCTGAGTGGTTTGAGAGAGTTCCTCTTCCCAATCGGTTCAAAGTTCCGGACTTCTCCAAGTTTTCGGGACAAGATGGTGTGTCAACTTATGAGCATATTAGCCGATTCTTGGCTCAGTATGGTGAAGCATCGGCTGTAGACGCTCTGAAGGTTAGGTTATTCAAGTTATCTTTATCTGGATCGGCTTTTACTTGGTTTTCCTCTTTGCCATATGGGTCGATCAATAGTTGGGCCGATTTGGAGAAGCAATTCCACAGCTATTTCTACAGTGGGGTTCATGAGATGAAATTATCTTACTTGATAGCGATTAAGCAGCGGCATGATGAACCCGTGCACGAGTATATTCAGAGGTTCAGAGAGATGAGGAACAAATGCTTCAGCTTGAGTTTAACTGATGCCCAGTTAGCCGATTGGCCTTTCAGGGTATGATTGCTCCAATCAGGGAGAAATTCTCGTCTGAAAACTTTGATAGCTTGTCACATCTGATACAGAAGGTAACCTTGCATGAGCATAGGTCAGCGGAAGTCAGGAAAAGCTCTAAGAAGGTTAATCATGTTTGTCCATACATGTATGGGTCGGATGATGAGGAGGACGATTCTGAAATAGCTGCAGCCGAATGGGTGAGGAGTAAAAAGGTCATACCATGCCAATGGGTAAAAAGTCCTGGAAGAGATATTGCAAATGGCATAATTCTGGATCTCATTCTACTAACGATTGCAAGGTTTTTAGACAGCAGATTCAGGTGGCCATTGAGGGGGGCAAGATTATGTTCGATGATTCCAAAAAGCCGATGAAGGTCGATGGTAATCCTTTTCATGTTAATATGGTGCATACAGCTGGCCAAACAACCGATAGGGTCCGTGCAAAGGGTTTTCAGGTGAATTCGGCTAAGATTATCAACAAATATCAGAGGAAGTATGACAAGCAGCAGGAGAAGCATTATGAAGAATACGATGATGGTTTTGATCCTCATTGGGGATGTGAGTTCTTTAGATTCTACTGGAATGAAGGGATGAGGTTGCCATCTATCGAAAACTGCCCTGGGTGCAGTGATATCGTCGAGAGCTCAAGCCAGTCATATAATAGGGGTAATCGGCTGAGGCAGGCAAGAGTTTCTGTTAAACAAAGATTGGGTCCGGTGAATCAAGATCGTGGCCAAGAGGACGAGGTAATCAGGAAGAATCAATGGTGTCCTTCTGGTATTTTCATGAAGAATCAGAAGAGAAGGGTTCAAAGATTGAAGAACAGGGAGCGCCTCCAGGAGGTTGAACAAGAAATTAACCATCGGCTGAGGAAAGCAAAGCCAAGACAGGAGTGGCGTGTTAAGAATCAGGTTCCTGTAGCCGATGATGTTGCAGCCGATGAGGCAAAGAGGTTGGCAAAAGGGAAGAGTGTCGTAGTGGCACCAATTAACATGGTCTTTACCTTGCTAGCCGAATTCGGGATCGATCAAGCCGATGCCGACGAGGTGGAAGAGGAATTGGCTAAGTTGGTTCTGTCACCAGAACAGGCAGTGTTCGAGAAACCCGAGGGGACAGAGAATCGGCATCTTAAACCATTGTATATAAACGGCTACGTCAATGGGAAGCCGATGTCTAAGATGATGGTCGATGGTAGGGCCGCGGTAAATTTGATGCCTTATGCCACGTTCAGGAAGTTGGGTAGAAATGCCGAGGATCTCATCAAGACAAATATGGTGCTCAAAGACTTTGGTGGTAATCCATCGGAAACCAAAGGTGTTCTAAATGTGGAGCTGACAGTCGGCAGTAAGACTATTCCTACTACGTTTTTTGTCATCGATGGGAAGGGTTCTTACAGCTTGTTGCTTGGAAGAGATTGGATTCACGCCAATTGTTGCATTCCTTCAACTATGCATCAATGTTTGATTCAATGGCAAGGCGACAAGATAGAGATCGTGTCAGTCGACAGGTCAGTTAATGTTGCCAGTGCCGATTTAGCCCTTTGGGAGATGGATGGCCTTGATTCTTTATCTGGAAAAGTCTGGGATGGAGATTTTCTAAAAGTGTCCGGTTCTGATATACAGCCAATTGAAGATGGAGAACCCAAGCTATTATTTTAAGGGCGTCGTGGAGGGTTCAAATGTCTACACCAAGGATACAGTAGATGATCTCGATGACAAGCAAGGTCAAGGTTTCATGTCGGCCGATGTTTTGGAAGAAATATACATAGGTCCAAGCGATCGGCCAAGGCCGACCTTTATTAGCAAGAACTTATCTCCAGAGTTTAGAACCAAGCTGATAGAGCTCTTAAAAGAGTTTAGAGATTGCTTTGCTTGAGAGTATTATGAGATGCTTGGACTCAGCCAATCGATTGTTGAACATCGGCTACCTATCAAACCAGGGGTTAGACCACGCCAGCAACCTCTGAGGAGATGTAAAGCCGACATGCTTGAACCTGTCAAAGCTGAAATTAAACGATTGTATGATGCTGGTTTTATCCGTCCTTGCCGATATGCTGAATGGGTTTCTAGTATAGTTCCAGTTATTAAAAAGAATGGCAAGGTCAGGGTGTGCATTGATTTTCGAGATCTGAATAAAGCTACACCAAAGGACGAATACCCAATGCCAGTAGCCGATCAGCTGGTTGATGCTGCATCAGGGAATAAAATTTTGAGTTTCATGGATGGGAACGCAGGATATAATCAGATCTTTATGGCTGAAGAAGATATCCATAAGACAGCTTTTAGATGCCCTGGTGCAATCGGCTTATTTGAGTGGGTCGTTATGACTTTCGGCTTGAGGAGTGCTGGAGCAACATATCAAAGGGCTATGAATTATATATATCATGATTTAATCGGCTGGTTGGTTGAAGTTTACATTGACGATGTGGTTGTTAAGTCTAGAGAAATAGAGGACCACATAGCCGATTTAAGGAAAGTTTTTGAGAGAACCAGAAAATATGGCTTGAAGATGAATCCGACAAAATGTGCTTTTGGTGTATCGGCTGGCCAGTTTTTGGGATTTCTTGTTCATGAA